GGGTCTGGCGGATCATCATATCACACGTCGCGGGGTCCGTCACGTAGCGGTAGCGCTCAAACCGACGGCGAACGACTTTGTAGGCCAAATTCAGCTTATGCGCGTTGAGTTGGATCAACCACATCTGCAGCTCCTTGAGGGCCCAGCGGTATAACCGGCAAACGCGCTGTTTGTGGGTGAGCCGAGGGTCGTCGATGATGGGGTCGAGATGCCGCACACAACCCGCGATGTCGTAGGTGTAGGCGTCGATCTTCCGCTCGTATTTGGGGTTGTCCAGGATACGCCAGCCTTCGTAATTCTGCAGAAGCGGCTCATGGAGGTGCCACTCGTGGTACTCCTTCATGCCCCCGCTGAGAAAAATTAGGCTGCGTCGCATGGGGACTGGGGATTGGAATCAATAGCGCCTGTGCGTTTTTTTGTTTTTTTTTGAGGTGAGGGGGGGAGAGGGAGACAATACTAAGGGGTGATGAGCTAAAAAAGAAAAAATCAACTACTATAACAATAAGAATAATAAATAAATAAATGTTACACTTTTGTTGCTAAATACTATGCTAATAATGGTGATTATGCCCGCTATTTCTATCTGTCCTCCTTTGAAATTTTTTAAAAAAGGCGTAGACATAAATTCAGCTTCACAGAATGACACAAAAGTTTCTCCTGTCACCATCGAACGTTTAGACTTCCCCTTTACTTACCTTTCTTTCATTGGTATTAAGGGTTTATAACCTCCACGACTTTTGTAGTTCATCCTCAATAGAGAAACTCGAAGAATACAATAAAAATAGCCCTCCGAAACGTATATAAAATATTCTATACTAACTAATGATACTGAAATTGCAAGCCCATTCTTATAAATTGGGATTCTTGCGTAGTAGTATATTTACTTTTGAAGGCTTCCATATCGGAAAAAATAAACCGCAAAATATGTACCAAGTTTAAAATAAAGGAATGAAAAATAAACCAAGAAAAAGACCTGGATTTTATTCACCCATAACTTCACAGAAAACACATGGCAAGCTAATCCGATAATGACTAAAGCATTGCCTCTTTTTTCCCACTTGAGTTATGAAGCGAACACAACAAATCCAGGTAAGGATAGAAAGCGAGGCTATGCTACCAGATGTTCTATTGACAATAAGCTAAAAAGCAATAATACCTAACCTATAACTATTCTAAAAATCAAAAATGGGGTTGACTATTGTTTGAGGTCGCTAACACTTTTTACCAGAAATTCATCTCATAATATTTCTGGTTTGTCGCCCGCTTCCAATGCCGTTCGGCCCAATGCCAGTCCACCACATCAAAAAACCTCGATAGGTACTTCGCCCGATCGTTTTCATAGTCCACGTAGTAGGAATGCTCCCACACATTGACGCATAAAAGCGGAATGAGATCGAAATCCACTAACGGACAGCCCGCATTGCTCAAGGAGAGAATATCAAACGCCTCTGCCTTTTTATCATAGACCCAATAAACCCACCCACTGCCAAACAAGTTCATGCCGGCGGTGATGAACTTCGCCTCGAAGGCCTCCAGCGACTCGTATTGCGCGCATAGCGCCTGCAATAAATCCGTTGGGATATTGCTGCCAAGGGGCTGAATGCACTTCCAAAAAAAACTATTGTTAAAGTGCTGCGCGGCGTTATTGTAGACGCCCACCAACCTAGAATCGGCGTGGGATTTTTTGATCAACTCGTCCAGCGTCAACCCATACAAGGACGTCCCCTCAATCAGCTGATTGAGCTTTTCGACGCAGTCTCGATGGTGGCGACCGTAATGCAGGCGAATCTGATAGGAAGAAAACAACGGTAGGCAGCCTTTATACCAGGGAAAGTCAAGCGTGGGGAGGAAAAAAAAACCTTGGGATTGGATGTAATCCTCCGAGCGGCGAATGTACTCGTCGACGCGCCAGTAGGTAGCGCGGTATTTATCGATATATTGATCCGGAACCCGCCCGGAACGATCGCGGAAGTTGTTGTAGGCCTTCATAAAATCAAACTTATCGAGAATGACGTCGGCCTTGGGGGTGTACATGACGAGGCCGGTGCGGGTTTGGGCTTGTAGGGCCGCGGCGCCCATCAAACTCCCCGCCGACGGGGTCCGGACGAGGCTGGGGGGAATTACCCGACGAGACATCCCAGCAGAGCTCCCTAAGAATGTTGGAAAATGCTTTAAATATAACAATAGGGGGGGGGGGGAGGGGG